CTTTTGCATGTGTTTATCTGTTTATTTATGCTACATTTTTGTATCTGAAAATGCCTTTCTAACTGAATGCAGTACCTACAGCCCTGCAGCAGTTCTGAATTCAGTCCTAGATGATTACAGAATAAATCAAAGTAGTAAATTATAATTCATCCAGACAGTTCTTTTGGTCAGTTTTACAGCTCCAAAAAGCATTTGCACTCCATGTAAGGCATGTTCATGTGTTACAAACCAGTGGTCAGGCTTTTCTTCCCCCCCTTCAAAATATATCTGGTGTATCTCTGAAAAACCAGAAAAAAAGGAATTTTAACTGTTGCTTCCAGTAAATTGTAGGGATAGGAGTAGGGAACAGGTACCTTTTCAATGATGGTGTATTTCCTAACATTCCACTTCTTTTGAGGCTACTGTGGTGTAATAAATAAAAGCCAGGTAGAGCCATCAGTGTTCTGCCTGGCTGTGGAAATCTACAGCTAAATGCTGAATTATTCTATCTACAGCAGTGTTCAGAGATGGGACATTTTCATCTAGGTCTACCTTAAAAAGGCTACATGGAATATTCTAATTCTGTCTTTAAGGTCATATACATTGCAATATTTGAAAAAATAGAAGTGCACTGCCTTTTTTTTTTCCTGTGGATTGTGGCATGTGAGGCTGGTGTTTGGAAGCAGCATCTTTTAATCTGTAGTAATGGTGATTCTACACATGAAGTGAGTGCAAACAGTTCTCTGAAGTGCTCAGTGTTGTACTGAGCTGCACTCCTGATCTCAATATTTGCTAATTGTGAATTAGTCTAACCCTTTGCAGCTGGGGCTGTTGAGGGACTCAGGAGTGGATTGTGGTCAGCTGTGGCTCCCTCCACGTGACCAATCTCTGGCTTTAAAAACAGAGCCGGGGGCCAGGGTGCGAATTCACCTGTATCTGTATGGTGGAGTTATTTATGCTCCAGTACGTGAGGCTGTGAAGCTTTGCTTCAAACTTCGAAATTTGCTGTGGATGCTGCATCTTGGCCAACGAACAGCAGTGCACGGACCTGTGCTACTGGAGAGAGTGAAAGCGTGGGAGTTCAAAAAATGAAATCCTAGTCCTCAGGTACGTGAGCAAAGTTGAATTTTAGAGCAGTTCTTTTCATAGTGTTCTTTGCTTCTTCCAGGTATGTAAATGCAGCAATATCTTGCAAATTATTTTAAGTATTTTTTTTGTGTTCAAGGAATTTTTGTTCAAGGAATCCCATGATGAATTTTCCACTTTTTAGTTCTTGGGGAAACTGCTGTTTGCTTCCTTCATGTTTCATAGGTGATGAGTGGGTTTGTACTGCTAGTGAGTGTTACAGGAGAAGGAAAATCTCCTTAGCAGGCTAGAGTCAGGACACAGCTCTGCTATAAGCTGCCCCGGGCAAAAGCAAAGTGATGTGTCTGTCCCACTGCCAGAATGATCTATAGAATGTTGAATATTGAGACATTGTTTAGATCTGCCCTGCTCAGCCCTGTTAACTTGTGAATCCCTGGTTTTTATTACAGTAGTACTTGGGCATCAGTGGGCAAGAACACAGAGTGAGGCTGATAGAAAGCAGAAAGTGTAAAATACAGCAAATTCCCAAATGCCTGCAATTAATAACTTTAACAAATGCATCCCTGTTTCTTCATGTTGACTGCCTGCTGTTTCCACTCCTCTTTCTCTKCATGCTCAATATTTTTCTCCCATCTGTCCCTTGGCTGTAATGATGGGACAGATGTACTGCCCAAGTCTTCATCTTGGTGCTTGTATTAAAACAACCTCATTGCTTCCTTCTGTCCCAGCAGCATTTATGTGCTCATGTTTCTTTATCATCTCCCCTTCCCCATTCTCTCTGTGCTGTGTTTAGCTATATAGATATATATGTAAAGTGATATGCTCTCTCTCATGGTCCAAGTAGAAATACTATTTGCAATAAGTATATGAAAATTGATATATGAAAATTGATCATTACACATACATATATATATACAGTTATATATAAATATGTATGTGTGTTTATATGTATGTCTACATATAAAAATATGTGTTGGATGCCTTGTACCTTTCAGTGTAAAAGATTCTCTGTACAGTCTTTTTATGATGTGAAATAACACATTCTTTGTCGTAACTGGCCCTTCAAACTCTGTAGGAAAAGCTTTTAAATGAAAAACCTCAGTGTTTTCTTCATGAGGTTCTGTTAGGATCAGCTGTGCTTTGAACTGGTAAAAACTGTCATTTCTGTTGGATGTTTTCCTCAGGAGATACTTTGGGTATGTTAAAATCATAGCTAGAGAGAAAAAGGAGCAGGAATAGCATCTGCTGTGCTTGGAGGGTCTGAGAACACAGATCCCAGTCCATCCGCTGCAGGTCACTGCCTTCCCCTCCTGACTGCAATGTGAAAAGTTCATGGTACAGGCTGCTGCTGGAGGAGGGGAGGAAGCAAATGTTATTGTTAATGGTTTACTGTTTGCTTTTAGCAGAGCCAGCCTTGGGAGTTTGTACTAAAATTCCCCCTAGAACAGATGATTTGGCGATAAATATAATCTTCCCCCCACCACCACCTCAAGTTAGGAAATACCAGTGCATTCCATGGGTGTGCAACTCAGTTTCTGTCACCTTTGCAAATGCTTTACGTTGTAGACTTTGGATTTTAATATCCTTGGCAACAAACTGTTTTTTCTCTAAAACACAGTTTTGTCTTTAAGTGTGTAGGTTAGACTGAGTCTAAGAGTTGTCTGTGCTGCTGACACATGCCCAGTACAAGGATCAGGCTGAGCACTCTTGAGTTCATCCCTATTGCTAGGTAGTGAAAAAAACCCATTTGCTGCTGAGATTCAGAGCTCTCACAACACGTAATAGTGAATTTATTGTCAGTGAAAACTGCAGTAGGGTAGTCAGGACCTATTTGTTCTCCAAGCCCTTACTGGACAGAGCAGCAACTGCTGCCTTTAGAATCACAGCAAGGTCTAGATTAGGCTTTTAGCAAAACTCTCCAAAGGCAAAGACTGTTTGTGTGCAGAGACCTTACATTTTTGGAATTCTTAAGCAGATTCGACCGATGTCTGTAAGGGACTAGAGTATTGATTCGTATCTGGAATGGTGCTCTTTCCATTGCAGCAAACCAAAGCTTCCTGTGTGGGAAAGCTCAGCTGGAGATGTTGAAGTGAGCTGGCATGAAACCAGCCCTGCTTGTGCCTGCTCCATGCAGATGGGTCACAGGAGGGACTGGGCTCTTACCAAGGCACATCTTCATCCCCATGCAGCTCCAGGGCTTTATCTGAGCCTGTATCTGCCAACATGCTCATCATGCCACAAATGCTGTGATGGCAGCAGAGTCTGCCTTACACCTTGATTGTTTGATTCTCTTTTTATACATTTGAGGGTTTCTCTGGCTGCTGTGACATTTTCCAAAGTCTCAAAAGTTGCAAACATTCTTTTCAATATAATCTTTTTTCAGTATATGTTGCCACGGAGCTGGCAAGGTTTGATTTCTGTGGTATTTGCACAGTGTTTTCCTTCCCACACAATTCTGCTAATTTCACATCGTGGTGTTTAGATGTAACTGAAGCAGCGAGTTTTGCCCAACAGCAGTAAAGGATGTAAAGTGACCATAATCCCAGTTATGGTGGGCTTTTAAAATAATGAGCAACCATGATTAGTTTAACTCTTAACTCTTTATTATTTTGGCATTTATTTGTTGTTGTTTTACCTTTTTTTTGTTACCAACAATGAGGAAATTGCTTTGTTTAAGAATCTGTTTTTCTTATTTATTAGGATGGAGAGGGTAAAATGAGTCAGTAAATGTGAAGGACAGTTTTGTGTCTCCAGGTCTTACGCTTGTATTGCTTTTTAAACCAACTTTACTTCGAGTTTCTGGCTGCAGGTGTCAATTAGCCAGCAATTCCCACAGCCCAAATTGTAGCTGTACAAAAGAAACCAAATTCCAATCCAGGTCCTCAGTTCTTTCCATGTGACTCTGCCTTCTTTTAGAGATGCTCTGGAGACACCACAGTGTGTGTGAGTTGGGGGCTGGAAGACTGACTGTGGAAGCAGAAAAATGTTCATTTTGTTTTATTTGTTTGCTTGCAAGCTTTAGTACTCAGGCCCTTAACTGAAAAGYAATAGCAGGTAACTCAAAAGTTGGCAGAAAGAGCTGAAAGATGTCTTTTTTAACAGTAGGCAGAGGTATCGGGGAAAAGAAATCAAAACATAGTTTTGTGAWCTGTTCTTTGAATATTTTTCTCTAAGCCCAGTTCTGAGAGTGATGTAGTTACRTAAGAACTTGTGGCTTTTTGAAAATACTTGAGTCTGAAGGCTGAAAATGCAAAAAGGAAATAGAAAGAATGGCAAATGCTGATTTTATAATGTGGTATTATTTTTAGGCTTGTTCTCATTACATTTTAGGGAACCTGCCCTGTTGTATTTGGCCTCTTTGAATAAACTGAGCATTTTGAAGATTATAAAAGCAAATGTACTTTAAAGCAATGGATTTTGAAATAGAAAAGATTGGTTGTAAGACCGAAGATGCATTAMTGGCAAAGTGCATTGTATATTCCTATACAGTTAAACAGTGCAGGAACCGCATTTTGGCAAGGACTCTGRATATCTGGGACATAAAGTAAGACATACTTAAAATATTGGTGTGGCAAGGAGAGGCCAAAGGAGGCTGAAAGGAGGCTGGGGTCCCTCTGTGCTGGCAGATTCACAGGTTAATTAGCAGTTGAGGTTTTAGGCCAATTATGACAGGTTCCAAAGGGATTCTCTTGGTTTCTCCACCTGTCATGTACACAAGTGCTCGGGTTAGCCCCTTAGCATGGTAAGTGCATGCAAAGCTCCCTGTCAGAGCCTGTGGAGTTGTGCTGTACAGGGTGGGCAGGACAATTCCCAGATGCAGCAGCTCCTGTGCGGGGTGAGCTCTCAGGGGTGACCCCAYGAGCTGGGGATGCTGAGAGGGTTCTGCTGGGTTGTGGGATTCCCTGTCCCATTTGTCTGATCCATTCTCTCTCCAGGCAGGAATGGCATCTCCTGACAATCCYGAGCAGTTGATCATTGCCCTGGAGCCCGAGGCTGCCTCTATCTACTGCCGAAAGCTGCGCCTGCACCAGATGATAGAGCTGAGCAGCAGGGCACCTGTCAATGGCTACAGCCCGAGTGACACTATTGGAACTGGATTTACACAGGGTACTTCTTTCATTCACTTTTTAGATCCTCGTGCTTAAGTTTGCTTTGTCCTTGAGGGCTGATTTCTGACCGTTTCTTGTTGGTTTTGTTCTCTTCAAATGTTTCAGGCTGGTGTCAGTTTGCTGCTTTAAACTGTTTTGCTGTTTACYATAGTTAGATTTGTTTGGATGTTGACCCAGCAGAATCACAGAACAATTTGGGTTGGAAAAGACCTCAAAAATCATCTCTTTCCACCCCCTGCCATGGGCAGGGACATCTTTTAATAGACCAAGTTGCTCCAAGCCCTGTCCAACTTGGCTTTGAACACTCCCAGGGATGGGGCAGCCACARCTTCTCTGGGCACCCTGTGCYAGGGCCTCACCACCCTCACAGGGAACAATTTTTTCCTAATATGAGCTTGAATTTTAGCCTGCAGGTAGCTTCCTTGTCTTGTCTTTATTTGGATGTTGTAGGAGTCTTTTAATATTTTCAAAACAGTATTTTTTCTGCCTTAATTTAAGTTAGTACTTCATGTTGGATAGGGTTTTTTTCATCTAATTTGTTGGAAGCAATTATGTGTTTGGTTATCTGCAATATTGAGGTGGTGTTAAATTAGTGGATCTGCCATGAAACTCTTAGTCTGAGGTGTTCCAAAGTAATGATAGATGCTTTTTGATGTCATCTTTATGAAATGTCATTAATGACTTTCAATGCTCAGTGGAACAAATGGTTTTGGAATGGAGCAATKAATTTTTCTGCTTGTGGAAGAGCAACTGCATAGTGCATTTCTCATTTATTGACCTGGGATTTGTTTCTGCTGTCAGTGTTTGAAGGCTGAGTTATAATGARGGCCAGAGATTGGACCACTGTAAGTCACTTGCCAAAAGATCCTTCATCACCTAAGTTTTTTGAGCTTGAAATTGGAGGGAAATAGAGGAAACAAAAAAGGAAAATGGCCTGCAGCAGCAAGATTCGATTGCTGCATAATGTGCATATTTCCCATTTCTGAACTGTAACAATTACCCTGATCCTGATGGTAGTGTGACAGTCTATCCTAGAAGGAATTTTTCAGAAGAGTCTTTGTTTTATCACATTTGCTAGGTCAAAACCGTCGAGGCAAGTGGGAGGTTAAGCTAGTAGAACTATTTCTGCACTTACCAGAGCAGATTTTTTTTTAGTTAGGCACAGTTAGTACATCATTCTCTCAAATCCATGGCTGTCCTGGCCAGCCCTTGTCAGATGCATTCAGTGTTTGGAGRCCCATGCAGAGTACAGGACAAATCTGTTTTCAGGATTCAGTCCCTTCAGGGCCCCTTGGCTTCTGTCCCCCTAAGTCGTGTCCTGAACTATTCCAKTTCCATGAGATTTTACATGAACTCACTGTCAGACAACACAGGGATTTGCTTCTGGGAAAATAATAAAGGGGTTTATCTGGTTAAGGTTTTAGAGCTGGGCAGAATCTGGCAGATCATGGATTTCTGCTAACAGGCTTTTCCTTGGGTGGGGGTACCACTCTCATTCTTGACTTTGTAYGGTAAAAGCTGTTGGGGATGAGAAAGGTTTCGTGTCAAAATTAATGAAAACAAAGTTTGGAGTGAATTAATTTGGGGTTGGAATTAAAATTTCATAAAGGCATGGCAGGCACCCAAGACAAGCTGAGAACAGATTAAGGAGAAAAACCCTTTAAATATAAACAGAGAGAAGCACTCCAAGGACCATATTATTGCTGCAAAGTCAAAACAAAAATTTTAGTGTTCATAGTAGCAAGGGTAAGCTTGCTTCAGCTGTAGTTTAAGACTGGCTCTTGTGTTCACTACCAGCCCACAGGAGGGAATGGAAGGATTGCCATTGATTTCTGTGGGCTTGACAGGCCTTTGCTTGGACCTGGTGYTTGTTTTGTCATGGAATATTTCATTTGAGCTCTCCCTGTGCTGCCAGGTCACTGCACTGAGGCTGGGGCAGTTTCTCTGCATCGTGAGTTCTTTTTGGGGGGAAGGTGCAGGAGTGAGTGGAGCTGATGCTCTGTTTTCTGGTGACAGGCACTATAGAAATAGGAAGCAAAGTTCATTCTGTGATTTGTGTGCTGATATTTTCAGAAAGAATTTTCACTCATGRCAAGCTGCCTCTCTTGTAGTGTTTTATGGAGTGCCTTTGAAGGTGAGTGAAGATAACACCAGGAATGTGGGGTTTTTTTGATCAGACAGTTGTAGATGTTGATTTAGAAGCATAAATAGCAAAGGTTCTCACTATTCTGCTTTCTCCTCACAGACTGTTCTGCATCTTTTAAATGTCTAAGCAGCAGTTAAGTCTTATGAGTTAACTGATTGTTATAACAGTCTTGCAAGATTACACTTAACTTTTAGTTGGTGTATGTTTTAAATGTTATGAGAGTCAGCCCTGGTGATCCCTGTGTCCTTAAGAAGTCTCTGATCTGAGCAGCAGTGCTTCTGGCTGCTTTTTGGAGGAAGACTGACATCCTGAGAGGCTGGGGAATGTTCTCCCATTCCGGGTGGTTGTCTTGGAGCAGGCTGGGGCTGCCACCTGCTGATGGAGGCTGCTGTGAGCACAGCTGCCTGCCAGCCCCCACCCTGCTGCCAGCACACGCTTTGCAAGCCGGAGTGCATTAAAAAAACCCAAGTCAGACCTGTTTGTAGCTTTCTTATTAGGTTATTTCTATATATAATTAGGTAGCTAGTATATATTAAAATATAAATTAAAACACATATAAGAATACGTAACAATATCAAGGAATGTCAAACATTTTTCCTTCTTTCTAGGAATGACATTCTAACTTTCCTGGTTCCTATGCAATAATTTTTGTGCGTTTTTTTTTGTTGGGTGATATATACAGTGCAGCGGGTCAGCCCGCTTGCACTTGTTTCCTGCAGTTTATGATTTTTTTTCTTCATGCTTTTTTATACTCAGTAATTTTTCTCTTGTCAATCCCCAGGAAAGGAACACGTGCGCCGGAACCGRCAGAGTCGGACCTTCATGGTGGAAAATGTAATAGGAGAGATCTGGTCTGAGCTGGAGGAAGGTACTGTGCTTTCTTCAACAAACTTTGTTCTTGCACACAAATACTGTGTTTCCCACAAAGGTGCTGTGCACTGCATTGTTCTCATAGTGATTATAAAGGAGAAAAGGAGAAAAACCCAAGTTCATGTGAGGCTCTGAGTTACAAATGCTGAACTGCAATTCTGTATGCTCTAGCAAAATAGGATTTATTAAGGAGATGGAAAACAACACAGACARTATTTTCCTCAGAACTGACCTTGTAAATATGGTGTAATATTTGATAGCCCACTAGGATGTATGCAAGCAGCATGAGCAGTCCCACTAATTTACTTTTCAGCTCTGCTCCATCAATAGCTTTTGACATCTGACTTTCATATTTGTTATCAATCACTGCATTATAATTATTGGTAAGGATTGAGCCTTCAGCCCAGCCATTCCTGGCTGTCTGTAGGCCATTATCTGCCCTGGTGCATTGAGCTGGTGGCTCACAGTGGTTAAATGTTCTGGCCTCTCCCCTTGCAGGTGATCGGTACATCGTGGTGGACAGCGGAGGGGGCACAGTGGATATGACTGTCCATCAGATCAGGCTTCCTGAAGGACATCTSAAGGAGCTCTACAAAGCAACAGGTACTGTCACTGCCACTGCTCAGTTTGTGTAATTATGTTGTGTATTACATCTATTTATTTAATGTTTTGACTTGTCAGTGGAGGAAATGTATGCCTTTATTGCATTTTGCGAGCAGCTCTTCCTGAAATGAGACCAACACTCAAAATTAGTATAACCCAGCTGCTGCTTGCCTAAATCACTCATTTATAGGGTTAATATTACAGTGGCTATGATGATACAAGAGTAGAAGTGAAGCAAAGGTAAGATCATGTTGTGTGTTAGACCACCTTCTACGTTTAGGAAAGAACTTCTTTCCATGGATCTTCTGCCATTAGTCCCAAGAATGTCACTCTGATGTATGTGTGGTCAGCTTGCAATGTCATAAGAACATTAAAGAATATTCAGAATATTAAAGCTCTGTTTTGTCTGTGCTACAGGTGGGCCATACGGTTCTCTAGGGGTGGACTATGAGTTCGAGAAGCTCCTGTGTAAAATATTTGGGGAAGATTTCATCGAGCAGTTTAAAATCAAGCGTCCTGCGGCCTGGGTGGATCTGATGATCGCCTTCGAGTCCCGCAAGCGGGCGGCAGCTCCCGACAGGACCAACCCCCTCAACATCACCCTGCCTTTCTCCTTCATTGACTACTACAAGAAATTCCGGGGCCACAGCGTGGAACATGCCTTGAGGAAAAGCAAGTGAGTAGAGAGTGCAAACCAAATGCATGCAGAATTAACTACTGGTAGCAAAGACAAATTATTCAAATATCCTAATTACATTAGGACCAAAAGGTAATAGCATAAAACTGTACTACAAAGATGAGAAAATAGATTTGCCTCAAGTGCAGTTTCTAGCATGAAAAATTCTGATCAATCTCTTGCAAAAGCTTTTTTGTATAAGACTTGCATTTTTCAGGGACTGCTTTCTATGTTTTCTGTTAGGCCACCACTGCATTGCTCTCTCTGACTGCATATTGTGAGACTGCATGAGTGAATGTCAGATCAAACATAGGGTTTGTTGCCTAGAACCTTAATTTTTAGCAGCCTGGGTCCTGGAACAAATCCARGATTGTGAGATGTGTAARTATTTTCTGTGGTATGGCTTGAGGGAAGTTATTAACAGGATCAGATCACTGGAGAAAACACACACTACTGCATAAAGCTCTGCAAGAGGAAAGCATTCAGCTTTTGAAGTGATGGCAGGCTCTTGCTTCTTATAGTATTTTACCAGTTTGATAATTTGCTTGATAGGCTTGGAGATATAATCACCTCCAGAGATTTGAACTCATAATTTCCAGTATCAGGAAGTCAGCCTAAATGACTGCAGCATGGGCTGCTGTAGAAAAGGAAGTGAGCAGAAAGTAAAAATGGGCATTTTGCATCTTTTGAAGTTGCAAACTACAGAAAACCTGGAGTTTAATGGTGTAAAAGAGAATGAACAAGAGAGCCTGTGAATCTGGGGCAGAAGGTTTGGGACCTGAGAAAGGAGGATTTAATATTTAGTAACTGTATCTTAATTTTTTTAACCAGCCAGAGTTGATTGTGGTACACAGGGTGGAACTCTTGCATCTCTTTCAAGTCATTGGCAAATGTGCCATAGGCTTTAATTACTTGAAATCCAGCTCAGAWTCAYTTTTTACATGAGWCTGAGGTTCTGAAATCATTAAAAAWTTCTGGAAATATTGCTCCTCATGAGGCCATCTCCTTTTTGTTTATTGTCTTAATGGTGAATCTTAGAGGGAATGCTAAATGCTCCCTTCAGATGAAATTAAATGAATTGGATAACAGGATAGAAAGAGTGTAAAGGTTRAGATACAATGTGCATGAATGAAATGGAGATTACTGGGCTGCACAGATGTGTATCAGTGATAGAATAGCATAATGCCTGTGCTCACTTAATAAATGTAATGCCTCGTTAGAAATGCTGTTCTCTCTTCTGCCTCCTGAGGCTTCCSAGCTTGCTCGTTTTCCTTGTGTTTTCCAGTGGCTTTGGCCTGCTGCTGCTATAATCTAAGTGTTGCCCTTCTGGGGATGAATCAGTGCTGTTTCAGATGAGCGAGCACTGCATTGACTGCCAGCTGTTTCAGAGAGCAGTTGAGCATTGCTAATGCTGCAGAAGGCAATCAGGCAAAGAAAACAACAATTAGAGAAGCAAAAATAATAATTCTCCCTTCAAGATTTACATAACAGCAGTTGGTATGGGGCTAGGGTGAGGCGGGGCACTTTCTTCCAAGGAAAATGCACGCAGATTCTGTTAACTCATTGATTAATTTATGTAATATGTCTGGTGATTGTTTTAAAGCTCAGTTACAACGTTTTAATGTTCTTCCTCACTGTTCTTTTGCAGTGTGGACTTTGTGAAGTGGTCCTCCCAGGGAATGCTGAGGATGAGCCCRGATGCCATGAATGCTCTTTTCAAACCTACGATCGACCAGATCGTTCAGCACCTGAGTACGTATCTGGGGGTGATTTCACATCCTGGCTGAGCTGAAAATGAACTTTTGCTCACCCATTTCAACCCAATAGCATCTCTTCTGGTGTGCACCAGCTGTGGACAAGGAATTCAGTTCTGAAACTTTCAGCCCTCTGCAATTCAGTTAGGGAAATAGTAAAAGTAAGGGACATGTCCTGAACACATCCTYCTACCTAGCTCTAGTGTTACTAGAGTTACTGAGTGTGATTCACTCCTTTTCCTGCCTAAGCTTCAATTTACTCTGTGCTTCCAGTGCTGCAAACATTCAGAAGGCTGAAATGCACTGAGAAACCCAGATTCTGCCTCTTTTTCGCATTTCAGGCAACAACTAAATAATGCCAGAGYTGTAAAAGTTACTCATTTCTGTCTRTTAGGACCTCCAGTTCATTCCTGCCCCGTGGAAGGTCACATTTGTTCATGACCATCCAAATCACTGACKTCTCTAAAACACAAATAGTAAATGATGCATCATGGTAAAAGTACTTCCAGGCATGGCTTAAGCAGCAATGAATTTATTTGTCYAGTAATGGAAAGTGACATCTGCTTATTGGGACAGTTACTATTTAAGGTCTTCCTGGTGGAAGATGAAATTTGTATCAAATAGAGTATAATGCACTTGGGGAGAAATGTGTTGCTTTCTGCACATCATTAAGCACTGTTTGGAATGGAATATCCAGCTTTGCTCATTATAAATGGGGGATTTGGGGGTAAATTTCAGAACTTAATAAGACAGCGAGTATAGAACAGCTTATAGTGAGCAGGGAGGGAGAGACCTAGAATTGCAATATTTGTGACAGGAACTTAGTTGTTTGAGCTGAGGGTGAGCCTACAACTGAACTGCATGGTTTTCCTGAAAGTAGGGGATGTGGGCTTAAACTAAGAAGGAACATCTGTAAAAATGTAAAGAGGCATTATTTTGCAGATGGGATTTATTGTGGTTAAGATGTTGGGGTCAGAAAAAATAAGTGAATTTAAAATGGGGTGCTTTATGTGGAATACAATAAAGGGTCTATTTTAAATGCCACTTCAGAGGTGTTGTATGCTTTGAGGTAGGTGAATCCGTAGAGAAATAGAGATGATGGAAGTGGGACTCGAGCGTGCTGAGGGTGGCAGTGTGGGCACAGATGTGGCAGTTTCAGATCTTGTGCACATGTGGGGAGCGCTCAGTGCACTCAGGCATTGAGATTTTCCCTTACTTTGCCCCATCACAGTGGATTTTCTCTTACAGAATGTCTGTGTTTGTGTTCAGGTGAAGTGTTTGATAAGCCRGAGGTGACCAACGTCAAGTTCCTGTTCCTGGTGGGCGGCTTYGCCGAGTCCCCCTTGCTCCAACAAGCCGTGCAGAGCGCTTTCGGCTCGAGGTGCCGGGTGATCATCCCTCAGGACGTGGGTCTGACCATCCTCAAAGGAGCTGTTCTCTTCGGCCTCGACCCTGCTGTCATCAAGGTGCGGCGCTCTCCGCTCACCTACGGCGTCGGGGTGCTCAACCGCTTCGTGGAGGGGAAGCACCCGCCGGAGAAGCTGCTGGTCAAAGACGGCACGCGCTGGTGCACCGACGTCTTCGACAAATTCATCTCAGCCGACCAGTCCGTAGCCCTGGGAGAGACTGTGACACGCAGTTACACACCTGCCAAGCCTTCTCAGCTRGTGATAGTGATCAACATCTACAGCTCTGAGCAAGACAGCGTCAGCTTCATCACCGAGCCCGGCGTCAAGAAGTGCGGCACCCTGCGCTTGGATCTGACGGGAACTGACGCTACCGTGCCCAACCGGCGCGAGATCAAAACGCTGATGCAGTTTGGGGACACTGAAATCAAAGCCATGGCYGTCGATGTGGCCACCTCTAAAAGTGTCAAAGTTGGTATTGATTTCCTAAACTACTGACGGGCTCTTTTCCCCACCACAGCCTGTGTGTCAGACTGATCTTTCACTGTTCCTTTTTTTGACTTCCTGTCTGTCATGTCATCGCCTTGAATTTCAGCAGGCTATAGGAGAACAGCTAGTAAGGTGGGGTGTGCTGTGTTTGTGCCCTTTGGTGACCAAAGGCTGGATTTTGAAAGACCCTTAAAAAGTTTTGGGAGCAAAAGTTCCAGAGGTAGTAAAAGATACCAAGTTACTCAAGCATGCTTAAAGATCTMCCTTTATTAAGTAAACACTGATTATTGTTGAGTCCTGAAGGTTAGTTAAAAAAATACCAAGTTGTAATCTCTTTGCCTTGTTCTTCTTCCTCTTCCTCCTAAAAACACTCACTAGCACATGTGGCTGATGTAGGGAGTGTATCTTAGTGGGAAATCTGTTTAAACAGCACCATCCTCTGGCAATTGGAACAAAAAAAAAATCGTAGTTTTACAGTGTTCTTTTGATTTTGCCCAGTGCTTTCAGAATTTAAAGTGCTGAAAATCAGTGACTCAAAGAAWTGGGAACTAAATTACTAAAGTTCTGAGTAAAAAAAATCCTCTGAAATCTTGAAAATTATATTTAGGAAATACATGTGTGTTTTATGAGCTTAATATTGATTGTTCCAGTTTGAAAAAAAGCCTTTACTGTCAATGCTCTCACTACAAGCTGTTAGATGAATTAGCTAGCATTACCCTCATCATACTTTGGAAAATCATATTAAGAGCAAACCGATTTCTCTTTTGGGTCTTCTAAACTTASTTTTATTAGTCTCCATCTGAAACCACAGAATCACAGAGTAGTTGAGCTTGGAGGGGACATCCTGTGACTCTATGATAAAACCTCTCAGTTCTAAGTAGTATCAACCAGAACAAATTGCTTTTTACAATTTTGATTATCTTTGAAATGAAGATCCTTAAACTCCAAGCAACTTACTTGACAACTCTCACTGCAAAAAAAAATTTCTTATGCTTCAAAGGAATTTCTGGAGTTCAAATTCATGTGCGTTGCCTCTTTCTTGCCCTTTCACTGATACCTCTGAGAAATCTGGTTCCGTCCTCTTTCCTGTCTGTTCTCAGACATTTGTGCACATTCCTAGCACCCCYTGAGCCTCTTTGAGTGCAACAGCCCCAGCTCTCTCAGCCTCTCCTCACRTGAAAGATCCCCAWTCCCTWCATCGCCTTCKCTCCCCTTTGCTGGKCTYRGTGCCGTGTGTCCGTGTCTCTYCTGTCCTGGGGAGCTCAGAGCTGSTCCTGGCACTCCAGAMRTGTCTCACCAGGGCTGAGTCAGGGGAATAATCCCTTTCCTTGACCTGCTGCCAGCGCTGTTGCCAGTGCAGCCCAGGAGGCTGCTGGCATTCCTTGCTGCAGGGGCACGTGGCTGGCTCTGGCTCTGCTGTGTGTCTGCCGTGGTGCCAGGAGCTCCTTCTGTGCCAGGCTGATTCCCAGACTGGGGCCACAGCTTCTCCTGGTGCTCAGGGTTAGTCCTGCCCAGCTTCAGGACTTTGCATTTGCCTTTGCTGWACTTTATGAGGTTCCTGTYTGCACATTTCTCCAGCCTGTCAACATCCTTCTGACCCATCTGGTTTATCAAGCACTTCTCCAAGCAATTAAATTTCTTTTCTTGTTCATTCCTGGGTTCATATTTGAAAGCACAGGTGGATGATGGCTGTCCACAAACATCTAAACAATTCAAAACAGACAAAATATTCAGATCAAAAGTACCATCATGTATTTTGTGTTTCAAACATTTTAATTGAGTAAAATATGTTGCTGAGTTGAATTCAATGGCCAATAAAGTGGAAGGCAGAATCCAATAGAATGAAACTACAAAKAACTTCAAATAAAGCACTTCTTACCTGGCAGTGAGCACAGAGCTCTTAGCATAGAGGAAATACAATGATGGCTGTGGTAGCATCTTGTTTTCCAAATAACAACTTTCTGGAAACATTTCCTTAAGCATGCTCACCTTGAAATTTTCTTTTGCAGCTAGAATGTTTTTATTTTTCARTATACTACAGGAGAAAAGCTTCTGAAACCCACATTCTGTATCTGCCATGAACCAACAACTTCAAATCCTACTCCCACTCCAAATTAGCAGAGTGGTACCAACCTGTAGAATCACCCTAAAATRCTGACATTTTCCAGAGCATTTATACAGAACTGCCTGAATACCTGCTGGAATTCATTACATTTCCAAAACTTTGCACTGTTAATCATTAATCTAAACCTTCCTTTTTAAAAAGTTGAGCATGAGTGAAATCCATTACTGACACTTTTGGGAGATTAAAGCTTTATCAATKATTTCATTAATTTATGTTCCAATCCTGCACTTAAGCTTTCTGTGTTTATCCTGGAGTTTTGCCACAGTAGAGAGCTGCAGAACTGATCCACTGCATTTTGTCATTGAGTTTTCTGTGTCTCCTGCAGAATTTCCTGGTTGAATGGGAAATGTGTTCTGCATTCAGCTTTAAAATAAATAAATAAAGGACTATGGAGAATGCTAGTCACAGTATCCTGCTGGATACTTTCTATAATTACAAAGTGTGCTTGCTAGCAGTCGATTTCCTGCTGCCTGCTAAATGCTTTAAAAGCTAAATACTGGGAATTTTTTTTTTGTGTGTTGCTTTCCATGGTTTACAAACAAGAGAAACTTTAAGATGAGTTATGAACAATATAATTTTATGTATATACAATATTTAAATATTGTACAGACTCTTTCTTTCTACAGTGCTATTTTCTTGTATAAAAACGCACTTCGCCTCTGTTGGTTTCATTCAGCTGTTAATTTTAAATAACATAGTTTCTCAATCAGCTTCTGTAATTACAGGCTTTTAAAGATGGTAAGATATGAAATGTGAAAGGCTGATCTTACACTAATAGGAAAGAAATGTCGGTGTGTCAGAGAATCCAACATTCCTCCTGCAATGCAAGTCCTACCAGCTAAGCACATCWCACAAATGCACTAGTCTCTTGCTGGGGTTTTTGTTTTCTTTGTTTCAGATGGTGACCTTTCCATCTCCAGCAGTTCTTCATAATAATGGATGAATCCTCCTGTAAAACCAAAAATCAGATTGTRAAATCTAGGTATGCAGCTTCTTCACTAGGTTTTGGGTTTTTAATAAGGATTTTCTCTAGTTTAGAAAACAACAACAACAAATGAAAAACTACCTTCCAAAGCCAGGCAACACTCTTGTATTGTAGCTGCAGGTAAGATCCAGTCTCTGTCTACCACTTCCACCTGCCAAAAACCAAAACTCTTAGAGAAAAAATAGGCTTTGCTGTCTTTGCATGCTATGTTAAACTGAATCTGTCCTGTTTGCACAGATTTGTTTTCAGTGGCCTTAACACAGGATTTGCTCTAGTGAATGGCTGCCACCCCCTGTSTCCCCTGTCAAGAGGAGGTGACCTGTGACATCAGGTGGCCCATGATTTTTGTGCTGTTTCCAGCCTGTCTGCAGGGAAGGTTACAGGTGGTTTCTGCAGCTCTTCTGAGGCACAGTTCCCTGCTCAGCAGCAATTCTCAGCCCTTTCAGATTCACCTTTTGTAAGATCCCATCTGGATCCGAGCAGGGCTTGTTGCTGAAATCCCTGGAACTGTGAAACACGGTTTGCATATTTTTGCACTTCCTCCTTCAGTCTGATGAGAACACTATCTCAAAGCTTATCTTTGCAGAGCACTGAACTACTGAAMAAACTCCCAGCTGTCCTTGTTGCCCTCTTTCAGAATGGAAAATTAGCTTGTCTCTCTAAGGAATTAGAACTGTTAAGTAGAATATTACGCTGTGGTCTGTAGACTATAACCCAATTAAACAACTTGACATTGTAAGAGGCGTGTGGATGCCCATTTTGATACAGGATGTTAGGCTGTGAAATTAATATGAAATTTACTAGGAAACGAGGCATTTTTAGAATTGTAGTTGTGATGCTTTGGCAGGAGATTCCCTGYAGAAAGCATTTTTTTGGTAGGGGTTTCAGATGACATTGTGCAACTTAATGTGGAAAAGACAACAAGGCCTGCTCTCCATAGGGAAAGCAGAAGGTCTTGGCAGGAGTTTTGCTCTAAGCAGCAATTTGCAAGTTTGGGTCCAAGTTACTGAACTCTAGGCTGAGGTTTAGCAGCTCATTGTGATGGAATGATTAATTGTGCTAGAATATGATAAATATGTGCAGTGGTGGTTAGGACAGTTTGCATTGGTATGAATATACCAATATTTATATACAGGAGTTTTAATGCATTATTATGAGAAGGCTAATTATATATTGCAGAGATTTAATAGCCAAGATAAGCTGCATATTTATGATATGAAGTGGCTTAAGCGGATGAATAGTATAAAAGTTGTTGGGCATAATGTCACAGTACTCACCTGCTTGAAATAGTCTTAAACTATATTATAAAACCAACCATTGTGGTCTTGTTCACCTCTGTGCAAGATAAATTCAGATTTCACTGATACTTGGAGCTGTTCACAAATTGTCTGGATTGTATCTTGAGTGTTCTTGTGTCTTCAATCATGTCAAATAAAATACCTTAAAACTTAATTTCTCTTTTTGGGTGTTACTATTCTTACRAAAAGAGCTATAAAAAGAAACCTAATTTATTATGAAAGTGAGACAGGCCAAGGGGTTGTGCTTGAATTTGGTGCTCCTTCGTGTGTGTAGCTGAGCAGAAGTGACACCAGCCATCTGTACTGCTTTAGTTCACTTGTGTCCTCTGAGGTGGAACTTCACTGCTGTTCACAACTCAGCTTCCACCAAAATTGGTGTAGCTCTGAGCAGGGTGTTTGTTGGAGTTCAGACAGAAAGACTTCGGGCAGTACCAAAAACAAATCAGGTGTTTTCTGTAATGATGRTCTCAGCTGGGAAATCAAGTACAAAATTTGATGTATCAAAGAGAACTGTGATCTCTTAGGTCTTGCATTATTAAAAGCTGTTTTATTGTTAAAAATGTATTGTCAGGCCAATAAGCTGGCCAATAACCAGGTGTATTTGCATGAGAATGAGCCTCATTGTAGATCTGGGGATGTTTAGTGAGGTCCAGCTGCACTGAAAAACCCTTACATAACAGTTTGTGCTGTATTGTATTTTTCTGCTAACAGCTGTGGGCCATGTTCCTCTGAAATTCAGCAGTGCTGGCACAAACTCTGGAGGTGACTCAGTGGCATAAATGACCTTGGTCCACAGTGCTGCAAAGCTGCAGGGAGTGAACTGAGATGCTTTAGCAGCCACTACACCCAACTTCCAGCTATTTGCTGCAATGAAGGTGTTTTACAAGTGCTTTATGACTATAATTATAAACACCATCCTAATAGGCTGGGTACTGTATTTAACTTGTAATGAACTTGATTTCAGCTAAACATTCAATTAATGTTACTAGTACAATGGGAAATRTAATTACAGTCTTCAGAGGCACATTAAGAACCAAATTTTGCTTTCAGTGTTCTACCACATTGCTGAAGATTCCGGTGGAGTTTCATGTATGTGCAGTCAGAATTTCGTCCTTACACTGGACTTTTCGAAGAAATCTAAAGGCTTTCTCATATGAGTGTGTTTATATTTACAGGTACAGACCCATCTAGAAAGGAGGGATTTTTTACAAGTTGTTAATTCTACAAAATCACTCAAGTCCTTACTGAAATTTGCAGATTTTATGTTCATGTGAGAATAGCTATGGAATAAAACTTGTAAAAGAGCCTTCCTGGCAGCAGTGTCCAGCTCTCTGTCTTAAGGACAGTGAATTCAGGGTCCCTTTACTGCAAGAACAGCTTGATTTTCAAGAGATGCAGCCTGGATCAATCAGAAGTGCCAGTGCTTTGTGTGACTGGAATTCTGGCCTCCTATTTGCCAGTCTCAGTAGGTACTGAAGTTGGAAAGCTTGTACTTACTTTTTGTTTTAATAATAAATTCTTTTATTAATTCTCATTCATGCCTTGCTGTATCCTAACACTCAAAAACATTTTTGTGGTGGAACCAGTGCAGAGTCACAATAAGGTTTTGTGCTTTTTCTCCTTCGAGTTAGAGACCTGAACCTGGGTATTCAAAAAAAAAAAAATAAAAGATGAAGTTCCCACTACAGTCCCACTACAGCCCATTCAGTTCCACATGCAAAGATAAATTTCTTACAGCAAAAACTGTCTTGTGCCATTCCAATGCCATGTATTGAGTCAATTAACTGCAGA